AGACGTATTAATCAAAGGAACATGCTGCTATCACTCTGGCACTTGCATGCTAATGGAAAAAGATACACGAGCTGCTGAAGTTTCCTTCACTTTCCTGAAATTTTGTTTCTCCTACATAATAAGTAAATCATAATTATGTGGTATCCTATATTAAGTATATGAAGGAGTACATGTAGCTTTGGTAAATAGTCAGTTCATGCAAAACTGATATTTCAAATTTTGGTAGAAGTTGGGAGAGTTACACAACTACACAGGTTCATGTACCTGTCAGGGATTTGCTTGAGTTTCTGGGTCTGCACACCTGTTGTGCTCAATATAAGGGTCTCCCACGCTTCCTGTTGGACTGCTGGGACAAGAGGGAGGGAGGGTCAGAACACTCAAAACTTTCAGATGGATAGGAACAGACAGAAGTCTCGAATTATGTCAGGGAGATCTTATTGTTGGAACAACTGAGGCATAGTTGATGTCAGTGGCAGACTCTGCTTTACAGGGGAAATGATCACTTTTGATGCATATACTGCAAGGATTTGGACAAGAAATATTTCCGTTCCTTTTCTTATTGAGTTTCCAGCCCTGCCCTTCTGCTCTGGCTATTATGGACAGACCTGGCTCTTGCAACTGAATTCTCCATTTTTAATACATTATAGGAAGGTGGTTCTTCCTTGCTTGGTAATAGCTGTTTCTGGAACTGAGCCAGCACCTCATTTGGGAAGATTTCACTACTGGAATTCCAGGGAGAGATATTCTGTGGTTTATTCATCCCACTGGGATCCATGGTTGGACTCAAGAAGGTGTGACTAGACCTGACATGTCCAAAGAGGGGGATACAGTTTTAGCAGTACTTGCAACATTTCGGTTGCAATGGATATTACCACTTCATGATTAGGCTTGAAAGTCTTTTTATCTCATCCGTTGAGGGCACAGGAATTCAGATACAGTTGGATTAGACTGCCGCCTACAGGAGGATTGGACCCTGGCAAACAGAAAAATTGTAAACCAGTCCTCAGTAAAACCCCTTCTCTACCCAGCATGTCTAAGTTTTTTGCTAGTGTCCTAGGAGGATGGTGGTTGTTTCTCTATTTGTGGATTCCTCTACAGGCTACCTAAAGTCCGCTTAATGAGGGCAATAGTAGTAGTTTTTTTGCTGTGTTGCCCACCCCTCAGTTTGCCTGCCTTTGGATGCCCTGACTGTATCTGAATTCATGGGTTCCCTAAATAGATGAGAAAGAAAATGGGATTTTTGTATTTAGTAGTCGATTGAGGGAGACGGCTCCCACCAATCTTAAAACGCAATGTGACAGCCTCTATTATATTTGTTATAAATCCCAGGAGTAGGGCTAATGGCTGTTTTGGCTTGTCTAAATATTATCTGCATGCGAGAATTATCAAAGGGAAACCATACCTTAGAGCCAGAATATTTACAAGGCAGAATCTTATGGCCTAGTGGATGACAATAGGGCCCAGCAACAAACTTTTTTTGCTCCTTCAATAAATCGGGGATAGTACATTTGGTAAAAATTGTTTTATCTGTCTGTCCTTTCACAAGGCAGGATGTACTTGTAGACAATTGGTGTTTTATGGGATGGACCATGCCAGTATAGACAATGCAAATTGGGTAGCAATTGATTCTGCTAAGTATTGTAATGATCTATTCATTGCTTCATCTGGCTCACAGAGATGAGATGACTAATGTTCTCTCCTCATCTTTGCAGTATGTGAATTCCAGAATTATTGGATCCTGCTCCTCATCAGTAACTACTGGACACTCTGCTGTATTGCAGCAAGACCACTAAAGTGTAACGGAATGTCTCACAACTGAGCTAATCTGCCATTATTATGAGGTTAGAATGCCAAGCCTATGCCTAATCAAGAGGATCACTTAGGCTATACTCTGCATTACGTCACTGCATTTGAACTGCTTTCTGAAATTTGAGCTTGGAATGTATTTTGGATCCTGATTTTCTCTGTAGCCTGCCTCGACCTCTTGCTTGTCGACCCATGCAGTTCTCTCTCGGTTCAGTACTATGGTTGGTTAGATGGCTAGTTGCCTATCACCACCAGACTTTCTTGTGTTGCTACCTGGTACATTAGCAGCCACATGAATTGTGACAATTATCAACAATCCTGGAGGTTAATTCCCAGTAGTCATAAAACAAACTAAAGATTAAAATAGGATGGACACCTCAACAATATAAGGATTCTAAAAACTACTCCCAGTCAACCAAGAACGGCTTCAAGAAACAAAAGATGAAGGTTTTAAAATGCCTTTCTGGTTCCCCAACATGAAATCTTTGTTTTAATCTTGAGGTTTATAGGGTTTGAGAAGGACAGAAAAACTGTTAACACTTGTGGAAATCACAAATATTTGCTGTAGACAGTTAAGTCCTGACATTTTAGGACATTGCACATGGCTCATTCTATGTTGTTGGTTTGCAGTCTGTTAAAATCAGTAGCTAAATAAGAGTTGTACATTAAATGTTATGAGCAATATATTCTTGCAGTGCTTGTGCTAACTTCTTTCCCTTAGAAAAGTGTAAAAATTTGGCCAGAACCCAAACTTTTACATTTAACTATATTAAAATGTGGTGGCCTAAGCCTTTTTATTATTGCTTGCAAATGGGGTGTAAGCTCGAATCCTTCTTTTAACTTGTTCTGAAAATGATTCCAACTCAGGGCTGTGAAACATCAGGAATGTTAGCGCTTATCTCGTACACAAACAAATCCCTGACACTTTGCCTTTTGATTAACCCCGCCACATTCCTTAATATCTAATTACACTCAAATTATACATAGGAAGTTTCAGAAGGGTTGTGTAGCAAAATGTATAATTATGTGCCATCTTGCCCTGCATCCAAAAGTTGGCTTTCAGGTCACTAGCACAATCAAGCATTTTGATTTGTCAATAAAAACTCCCCCCAAAAAAATAAGATTGGAAAGGGGAGCCTTCCAGCATCTTAAATTTCACATACAGCATCAGGTTTTCACTGAAAAGAATAAAGCATGGCTTTTTATATTAAATGTAAAAAAAATGCCCACAGCTATTAGTTTTCCAAAATCCACAGAGACGGGTGGGGCAGGATCAAAAATCCGTATTTGATCAAAGTTATTGGGTTAGACGGTATCTTTGCAAACTTAACAAAGATGAAAGGTGCTGTTTTTATTGCATGCTAGTAACAGTGTAATTTCAAACTAATTGGTATAGAGATGCCAATCACCTGCAGGGAATGCAAATAGATACTCTTACAATTTCCTTTGAGGTACTAAAACCCAGTGTTGGGACTGGAAGAATAACAGAATAATACAGTTAAATTGACCTTAAATGAGCTGCTTTGTGGTTTGAGCAGAGAATCCATCACTTTATAGAACTAGTCCATACAAGTCTTGTCTACCATCTTGATCTGTTGGCTAGACTATTATGACACAGAGCAGTAGGCACTTCTTTGAGACTGAGAACAGCTCTGGTACACTTGTGCCAATTTGGACACTAATGAGATTTGACTCCCTTTTTGAAAACAAAATGTTGAAATACAGTATAAACCGATGACAAGACACCAGTTAATTGTTTTTTTAACTTTAGTCATGCATGTTCCACCATTACAGCCTTTGCAATATCACAGTGCTACCCAATCCTATACTAAAACTCTGCCCTAGGTTGGCACCAACCTACACTGCTTTATCATTGTCTTAGCTGCACTGGAAGGCCTGCACCAATAGTCAGACATAAACTCACACTTCCATTAATGCATTCTTCTGGGACATACGACTCAATTCACAAAACTGACACACCAGGATAAGGATACCAGGTTAAGTTTTTTTTTTTTCTTCTCAGTTGAGTCCGGTAATATGGCTGAAAATAAAGATCCTTATCCTTGTTTTGTGAATTGAACCTATGGTCTTACCTCCTTTAAGGCTACTCAAGTAATTTCCTTTCAAACCCATCCTAGTGTGGCCCAAAAACGTCCCTCTATATAGGCCTCAGAGGAGAGATTGGATTCTTATCTTCATACATCACTTCACCCAGTTAATAATACGTGTTTGTATACAAGAATTGGGCACAGGGGTCTTAAGATTTACGGAACCACTGGCTTTAAGATTTCTTGCAGGTTTTAGGGAGCAACACCAAGCAACAAGTAATTCAATTGGTGAATTGTATATGCCACCCAGGAAACCATTTAGTGGTAGTCAGAAAATTCTTTAATCCTTTATTTCAATTATCCAGTGCACCCATATTTCGATTCAGCAGACTTATCATAGAGCTTCTGGTGAGCGCTTCTTTGTCAGATGATTTATAGCTGAGTAATCTCTCGGCGTGAGAACTGCAGAGGGTGAAGGACTCTCTGATTCAGATATCAATATGAGAAAATGCAAACAACAATTGGTTACCAACAGAGAAATGTATGGCTCTGCAAAAAATAATGCAAAACGTGTGCATTATCACCAGGGTATAGTTTTGTTAGAAAACTAACTGACAAGACAGCATGGCATCTATGGGAACCACTTTGATTGCAGGTGCAATGTGCTGCACTGACACATGTTTGCCAAAAATACCCCAGTTTAAGCTGTTGGACCAACTCCAGAGAATGGCCTTGGTCAGGCAGCCCAGATATGTTAAGCTGTAGGGTATTGTTAAGCTCATGTCCAAGACCTTTCTCTGGCAGATGTATGTGAGAACCAACCACTCTCAACACAGTGAAATACTTTATATAATGTTTAGGTTGAATCTTAAAGCAGCCACGATGTTAACTGATTGGCTAGACCCCCACCCTTCTTTGTGCATATAGTGAACTAGAAAAAAACCAAGGTGGCCAATCTGGTGAAAAAAACAAATTGTACCGTAGAGTGTAAATATTGTGATAAAGAATATTCTGAGCCTATGACATCTCAGCATTTAGCAGTTTGGGAATGCGTGAAAAGAATGAGCCAATGAATGTAGTAAGTACATGTGACATAAGAGTTTTGTTCTAGTGTTGTGTATTAATGTATGCATATCTGTTTTACAGGAGGAACGTCTTTTGTAGATAACAACACAAAGAAGATTGAGCATGATCTTATGAATGCCAAGACCATGAAGTCAAAATTAGGTGGGTAAATGGGAACTTCAGCAGAAATACAGGCAACCCGTAGATCAATGGTTGATGTGTATCCACAATCCAAGCACACCATAGGTCAGGGCTCATCTCTTCATGTACCCCACCATTCCCTAGTTCTGCATATTGCTGCCATAAAGCTTTGCTAGCTGTTAATCTTCCTCAGTGTTATTCGGCTTTATGTGGAACAAGGGAGAGGAAACCCTTGGCTCCTAGACATTCTAAAAGCTGTGAATGCTCAGGAGGAATTAAAACTGGAAATAGCTACCCAATTTACTGCTCAACATGAATATAAGTAAACAAATAAGTCATACCTTAATTATGGGAGACAAATGGATGAAAGCCAGTCAGCATGGACATTTGTAGGTTGACTCAAAAGACCATGACACTTGATGTTTACCTAGGAAAATGAATACTTGTATCTACATAGAAAGATTGCCCGGTCCCATAGTCACATTGTGAGTGGGATCTCCGTACTGAAGTTGTTTATTGTGTTTAGTGGGCTGAATTCTGATCCTCTATATACAGTGGTTCCAACACCAAATTTTACCAGGAGGTAGTGCTGCAGGTTAGATCTTTAGCTTCCAGTGAATCCCACTGCAAAGGGAGGAGGGTTGTGCAATAACTGTGAGCTTAATATTTTTTCCTGAATGGTATTATTACATTAACTCTTTTATTAAGATCTCTTTTCATGCTTTGCTACTTTACTTTTGCTTTGTTTTTAAAAGAAAGACGCAAGAATGCCTCTGCCTGGGAGAGGAACCTGGTCTACCCAGCTGTAATGATACTGCTCCTCGTCGTAACGGTATGTTATCTACTTCCTTTTTGGCATGGGAAATTTGTTGTTGATTTAAAACATTTACTGTGAGATGACTGTTCTGTCTCAAATTGTTTCAGTCTTTTTCGGTGATCCTGGTGTCTTGCAACATTCTGCGCTTACTGGTGGACGAGACAGCAATGCCTAAAGGTTCAAAGGTACAGGGGTAAAGTAGTGATGTTCTATTGATGTATAGATTATTTTTGGTTTTATTGGCGAGCACAATAGGAGCTCTACCTACAGGCAGATTGATATGTCTCTAACATATATTTTAAAGCATACCTGTAGTAATATACTTGGAAAATGCATAGCAGGTACTTCCATTGGGGAAGGATTGTGTTCAGAACCTAGGACCGTAGGAGATGGCCATTGTTTGGATAATAATGTGTCACCAGGTTTCATGCCCCCCAGGAAAGGAAGAGCTGACATGGAGATGCCTGCTATGCATTTGATAGTGGCAGGTATGGGTGCTTTGGCAATAGATACACAACGCTGGTTTGATGATATATACATGCTTTACCTCAGGTGTAGCCAATTTTTGGCCTTCCAGCTGTTGTGGAACTACAAGTCCTATAAGGCAGGACTGACAGCCACAGACATGCTTTCCAGAAGCAGATGCATGATGGGATTTGCAGTTTCACCACAGCTGAAGGGCGGAATTTACCTCATGCATGCAGTCTGTAATGGCTTTGGTAAAGCAGGCTGTGATTGCACATCATTGTAGCTCTATATATTTATGTTTTAGTCTTCTGCAGTCACCCTTGTACCTTGATAAGGGAATCCTGTTAATTACATATGATTACATATACATATTTACAAGCATTAAGTAGTGTGCTGGTAGTCATTTACATCTCCTGCTTTAAAACATGGTGCCTCTATTACTTCAGCATTCATGTATTTACTGACCTGTATCTACAGCATCAATCCCCCTTGGGAGTTGAGGTTTAGTTTGGGATTGAGTGGGGAAGGTTTAAAACTTCTTTCTTTTTTATGGCTGTCTGGGGGAGATTTCCCTTCACTTTCTGTTATGGACACATAACAGCAAGTGAGAAGAGGTTTTGGCTATAGGTACATGGAACATAGGAACACTATGATTTGTATAAACACACCAAACTACAAGGACCCTCACCTCTGCAAATACACTTTTAGATTTGTTAGAATGTTTAAGTACAAAATGACCTTCTTAGCTAAATGCAAATAGAATGGGGGGGAATGAGTGTCTCCCTTCTTTGTACTGTATAAAACAAATGCTCACTGTCAAAGCCTGCACAGGTGTAAAGAGCAGTTTAATGAAACAAGCTGTTGTCTGCCTTTACATTTTTTGGCATGAGTGGCACATTCTCCTTCAGAACCTGTCCTAGATTTTTTGATGATGATACCTGTACAATGCTTGTGGTGGATGTCTGTGAGCCAGAGAACCTGGATGGAGGCCAGTGCTCTGATCTCATCATGTGTAGGAATTGATTTATGCTAAACAAGAATCATTAAGCAATTCTTACAGCATAATAATGTGTCTGGCCTGACTAGATGTACTGTTTTCATTTTTTTTTTTTTTAATGTAAGCATGTCCTAACTTTTTTGTTATGCACATATTAACCCCTTCCTGAACAGAGTTTTTTTTAAATGATATGATTCTATAGAAATTAAATTTTCGAGCAGCTTGAGAAAGGTAAACCCCAGAAACCAGGGAAAAAGTGCAATTGCTCTGCGCTGCTTAAAGATGGTCTGGTTTAGCATCTGCACCAATGAAAGATGTACACTGCATATGGTCCTTAAGACTCTAATCTAAGCACCTTTAGACTCATAACCCATTCATAAAACATAAATTGAACAGCATATGCGTGGGCTGTTCTACTTGCAAGATGATTTCCAATTCTACTCAGCCTTGTGATCCAGGAACCATTGCAGTATAGATCTGTCAGGTCCTAGGACTCTCTGCAGATGTTACTGCAGTTAACCCCTTCATGACTGAGGCCTTTTTTTAATTTTTTGTACCCATGTTATATTCCACATTTTAGGCCTGAAAATTACTTAAAACCCCCCAACATTATATATTTTCTGAATGCCAAGACCCTATAGAATAAAATGGTGGTAGTTGCAAATTTTTATGTTGCGCAATATTAGCGCAACTCCTTATTTTTTTTTTTTAAATGATGCGTTTATTAGCATATAGTCAAACATACATTTGGGTACATATCATTGGCAGATCAGTACATCATAAACATTACTGCGCCTGCAGGCGAACAAAGCCATGCAGAATACAGGGTAACAGACAAGAATACAATAATACAATTCAGGGTCATAGTAACAGATGGATATATGGACTACCTTAAGCTGCGGTTGGCAAGCATGGGCAACTCTCGTATTATATCACCTGTCCCCCGAAGGACAGGGTCTGTCGGTTTGCACCCCCATGGAATACCCATGACCACCAACCGTTCTCCGGCTCACATCATGTATACTGTCTTATAAGGAGTCCTTTGACTCAACCAATTCCCCAATGACCCTGTATTCAAGATCCCGGGTCATACCAATAACATAAGATATACTTAAACTTTTGAATTCAATTCGTAACTGTGCATTGCGTGGGATGTACCCACCCCTCTCACTCTGGGGTCATGTCAGAGCCGTGTTGGTTGCTACGTACACCTTTCATGGGAGAGATTGGGTGGGCTCCCACTTCGTGG